AGCTCAAACGCTCATGATTAAAAGGTTTGTAATGGAAAACCAGGGTCCACGCAAAGTGGACTGAATAGGGATACAAAAAGTGGGCGCAGTTTGGCGACGAGGGAGGGGCGTTTTGCACTTTTGCTACTTCCCATCGACGTATCGATCTATTTTTTATCTACCTGTCTACCGTCTTAAGAGCTATCTCATGAGCTTACAAGAGTTGACAAGTTTCGCCATGGTGGCTCGACGAGCTTGCTGTAGAAATTCGTGAACCGGAAGTAGAGGGGCAACGAAAGTGCAAGATATCCCCCATCTCCTCCTCCCCCCCTCCCACAGTCGCCGAACCTAGCCCGAAGAGTATCTGAGCGGGGACAATTGGCATGTTACTGGATTTTCGCCGGATATATACTAGGGATTAATAACGTATAAGAACTATGGGAAGAGATTTATCGGAGTTTCCAGACTGAATAGGCAGGATTCTTTGGAATACCACTACTTCGAAGCAAATGAGTAAACTAGAAAACAGTAAAGTAACTAGAAAACCCAGAAAAACGGCTGGAACGATTGTCGTGAATACCTGGACATTTTTGAGGATTTCCACTTTATTCGTCTTCGCTGCATTGCAAAGTAATGGCGGAAGTATAGTATCGCGAATCAGTTTCACCTCATTACCGGATGATAATCGTAGACATCTAGCGATGTGGGGAACTTGAAAAGAAAATGTATTTTTGCGAAATTTCCAATAATGTTGCTTTTGGCGAACTTACTGATATCAAGTTCACGCATTTTTGCCGCCTTGTTGGTGACGGTCATTTCACCACGAAGATTTGCTTGAAGCATCTGAAACAGACGAATATGTGAGTGCGAAGAGTTGGAAGGCATAAAAGCAGAGTTAAGGCAAAATTACTGGTACACGGTGTAATTAGTGGGTTCGAAGTCATTGATAAAGAAGGCGGTACCACGAAGACTTTGATAAAGTATGAGTTCCCTTGAGGAATTCTGCAGCTATACAAAATGCACAAAGCTCATCGAGATATAGCTCATTGTCGGGAAAAGAACTACCGTGTTCCTATTACTTACAAATTTTAGTGAAGATTACAGGCTCCAACGCTACTACTCGCCTCATCCCTTGCGAACGCACTCATTTCCAGAAGCAAGCCATTTACCTTCACCGCTCAACAGGAGTGTAGTAACTGCATCAAACTCTTTCAGCTAAGACATATTTTTAAAGTTGCCATTAGGTCATCCCATTCAAACTGGCCGCTGGTTTTTTTTTGAATAAAACAAAGAGGAGAATAGATAGAAAAGTGATATTTTAGCTTTAGGATGAGTAAATCCCTCCTTCACCAATGACCCGCTCCCAGTGCCCCGAGGGCCTTTGGACCTCTGGTACCTTCGATTTTTCAACAAGTGTGAGTAAATTGCTGTTGTTGCCAATTTCGGCAAATGACAAAACATTGTAGCGTCTGCCGTCGGAGAGTACTCTCAACTGAATAGAACAGTTGTAATCGCATGGCTTTTACGGGCATGGGGCGATTGAACCCAGGTCTCAGTATTGTTTATGCCCCCAGCACTGATCTACAATACAGTTACTCGGGGTCTGGTACTATGACGAGCAACGGTGGCCTTCTTGTAGTTGTGTGGTAGCATCCATTTGTCGATCTGAATGCCGAGGAACAGGCAATATGCACCGACAGTGACGGATTTGTTCTCTGTATAGAGCCGCTTGAAAGCCACAGTGTGGGAATCCTTTGCTATGATGATCATCCACTTGCGCCCACGTAACTCTTCATGGTAGAACTCGGGCGGCTTCTCATCTGCATTCATACAAAATTGACGATTGTGAGTTTCGGCTCGAGGTCCGAGACCACCCATATTTCATCTAAGGCCTGGGTGCGTTTTCACAGTTGTGAGTGACATCTCATGCTGAGAACATTACTGCTAGAGGTATAGAATCGGTACTGCGTTCGTGCTTCTATAAGAAAATTGGGTACCCATGCGCACACCCCCTTGACCATCCTCAGTTTATCGGTCATAACACGTACAGTAATTGCAGCAGGGATGTCAGTCTCGCGGGGAAACCCGACAAAGGTCCAGGCTCTGTGATCAGATATTCAGTGCCTGACTTCATCCACCCGAATTTTTTTCCTTTCTTCCTTGTACGGGCTCCTGAACCAAATCTTCCACCGTGTATTTCGAGAACACCCTTACACACAACTATGGTCCGGCGCAGGTCAAATTTGAGCAGCGCACTTTCCTCTTATGACGTCTGATTTGAAAAACCGGCGCCGATTTTCACCACTCGGCTTCTTTTCAATTTCTCGAGAACTTCTTCTGGGGCTAGGTTCGCCAAATTTCACAGATACACAGCTTAAGGTACTAGCTTCCAAATGGTATAGTAGCCCGCTGCTCTATCCCCCTTTGCTTTTCTGCCATTCCTCTATATGTAGCGGCCAGTTTGAATGGGATGACCTAATAGAACATACTCCGGAATCATGTTCGAAACCTGTCACTCTAACTTCTACCCAATTTTGGTACTCAGTAAAAAAAAGCGACCATGTTGTCGACAACCATGCAAGTCTTAAGCACCAATAACCCAAGAAGACTCCAATGAGGAAAAAAAATCTGAACAAGAAGTATTTTCGCTCTGATGAATACCATTCGCTTAGTCTCGTGATCCCATTCGTCTTTACCCAATACATAGCACATTTTAGCCATTGCTGCTTCAGATGTCATATCTGATCCAGGTATCACACCGATATCATAGAGCACCTAAAATATTGGGATTTCAACAACGACTTTTTTCGGCATGATATTTTTAAGTGATAATTACAAAATTTTCCGAGCAAAGCACTCATACAGTTCTTATTATCGAGAGTTATCAGAAGGATAGAACTTATCATTCAATCTGTCTAGTCTTATTGGGGTCGATAAGTTGTCTCTGAACTGCGATTAACCTTCAGAATAATGATGTGTTTGCCAGTAGTGACAGTAACAAAGCTGAAGACGGTGGCTCAAAGAGAGAAGAACTAGCAGGGACCCAGAAAGCCGTGATCAAATCGAGAAAAAAAAACAGGAAGAAGGTCAAGTTCGGAAGACTGAGACAGGATTTGCGTACATGCAGGGTTCGGCAAAAGAAATATGTAAGGTAAACACAAGAACAGAGGAAAATAGATCAACCCCTTGGGACCAGCGTGCAGCAGGAGACAATCTGCACGGTGTATGCCTACTAGCTGAAGTACAGTTGGTGAGATTGGTTCGAAACGATGGCTGGTTTGTAGTGTGCCTTCGCACAACAATAAAGAACTGCTATTCAGAACCTGGGGTTTTCACAGCAAAATAATTACAATATGTCAATGAACTGTGAAAAGATCGTGTGATTTTCTCACAGTGTGAACGGAATATGCTACAAAAGTCGAAATGGCCATGAAGTTTCACCTTTCCAGTAGCATAGTTCACGTCAACTTGCCCCTTGACACACTGAGAACAGTTGACGACAAGACACCCTCTTTTGATAGCTTCCTGAAAACAAAATGATTGTACTACGTTTCTGACGACCGAAGCCTGTACTACAAATGCTCTTGTCCCAGAAGAAGAGCTCCGCTGGAATGTGAGTGTTCATAGTTTGTGTTTGGTTGTTCGTGTGTCAGGGTAAACACGGGGAGCGCCAGGGCGGGGGCCCGACTAAGGCGCATAGGCTGTTGTTGTCATGCTGTTGTCCTTGCTGCGGTTGTGTGTGCTACGACCAGGGAATCCCTGGTCTGGCCCTCGTGGCCGGACCAGGGGTAGACCAGTCGTGGGGACAGTGCTACCGCAAGATCCCCCCACAACCCCCGGGATAGGAACCCTGTAGACCCTCGGGGAGCGGAGGCTGCACTGGGGAGAGACCAGTGCGGTCCCCGAGGAGGACTCCTAGGATGACGTGAGTTCCTGGATTCGGGACTCACGGGGACTCTGAACCATCTCGATGCGTCGTGTTTTGAGGGGTTTGAAGGGCGACTGCCTCTGAACCACGACAGACTTCGATTCGCAGCGCTTTTCTAAGGCTGCGTTTATACTTTGCGGCAGCGTAGCGTAGCGCTTCCAGCGTACGCCAGCGGCAGTGTCGGGGAAAGGATAGATATCGATCTAGCGTTCCCAGCGTCACCAGCGTACGCTAGCGTAACGCTAGCGCACGCTAGCGTACGCCAGCGTAGCGAGGGCACGGGATGTATAGGTATCGATCTAGCGCTACCAGCGTTTCACGAGCGTTTCACTAGCGTTTCGCTAGCGCTTGCAGCGGCAGGGCTAGAGAGTGTAGAAGAGTAGGAGAGTACAAAATACTCTCCTACTCTTCGATACTCTCTAGCGTAGGAGAGTATTCTGTAACCTCCTACTCTTCTAATACTCCTCTTAGCGCCTGCGCGCTGCAAAACGACTAAGCGAAACGCTAAGTGAAACGCTGGCTACTGCGTTTAACGTCTTACGCTGCCGCCAAAAGAATAAACGCAGCCTATAGGCCTGAGGGTGGGGGGGAAGGACTATGCTTGATCTACTATGCCCCACTAACTACAGTAGCGCTCGAGCAGGTTTTGCTGCGTTATACTTTGCGGTTCAGCGTAGCGTAAGTCGCTTCCAGCGTACACGCAGCGGCAGTGCGGCAAAAGGATCAGGTAATCCGATCTAGGCTTCATTCAGGTTCAACATCGCAGCTGCCGAGGCACGGGATAGCATAAGGTATGCGATCCTAGTTTCAGCGCAGCCGTTTCTCGAGCGTTTCTCCAGCGTTTCTCCAGCGGCACCAGCGTTCACTAGCGCTTGCAGCGGCAGGGAGTAGAGACTATGGGAGAGCTGGAGAGTACAAAAACACACACGATTCGTAGTAGTGAAATGTGGCGCGTGTAGTGCACCACATCAGTGGGTGAGTTTGAGTGTTGAAACTGATGTTTTTGGGTCGTCTTCGGCCTGCTTCGCCCCTTCCCCTTTGATGATGGGTTTCGTTAATTTTTTTCTGAATCTTTCTTAGCGAAATTGCAGAATGCCCTTGCTTTTTTCACTTTTGTTTATGTGATTACCCGATTGCAAATTGCTGGACTGTGCTTGGATGATGATTTCGTTCATTTTTTTTTTTCTGATTCTTTCTTAGCATAAGTGTCCCTTGCTTTTTCACTTTCAACAAACAAAAACGAAGAAACAACGAAAACATCAGTTTCAACACTCAACTCACGGTATTGATCGTTGGGAGTACGGTAGTGCCCACTGATGTGGTGCACTACACGCGCCACATTTCACTACGAGAAATCGTTGTGTTTTGTACTCTCCAGCTCTCCCATAGTCTCTACTCCCTGCCGCTGCAAGCGCTAGTGAAACGCTGGTGCCGCTGGAGAAACGCTGGAGAAACGCTCGAGAAACGCTGGTGAAGCTAGATCGATACCTATGCTTCCCGTGCCCTCGCTACGCCAGCGTGCGCTAGCGTGCCGCTGGCGTACGCTAGCGTGCGCGCTAGCAACACGCATAGCGACGCACAGCGTGCGGTGACGCTGGTGAAGCTAGATCGATACCTATCCTTTGCCCGGCACTGCCGCTGGCGTACGCTGGAAGCGCTACGCTACGCTGCCGCAAAGTATAAACGCAGCCTTACTGAGCAACTATCTACAAGCGGTTCCGTCCACAGTTCGCGTCTTTGCGCAATTTGAGCATCGTACCGGTTGCGGTGGAGCGGTTCGTTATAATTTCTGTTCGTTACTGATCAGAGACCGGCTCCGAAATTGGTTGTTTGCGCTCGAGCACCACATAGGTGACACTAATCGTAAGAGTCCCGCGATGCGAGTACGAATAAAGACGCGGCGGACTATGAACACTACTTCATCAACGACGATAGCAGCATGCGTGGAAGACTCCAAAGAAAAGGACTGTTGGTGAGCAACTTCTCCTTCATTAGCAGGCGAGAAAAGGTATGGAATCAAGGGGAAATACGAAAAATGTTGCTGAAATAGAATTACTTACGGTTAAAGCTTCAATGATATCCTTTCGCCTCGTCGGCATATTACCGGCACCAAATGTCTGCAGGATGACTCCCTTTGTTGGCGGTTTCAGGAATGCACGTACCTAGAAGCGTTCAAATACTTCATCTTGAAGAAGCACAGTCAGCAAAGAGGGTAGAGGAAGCTCCCAAGAATACCATGAGTAAGACCCTACATTTGCAATTAATTCCAAGCATTGTACGGGCTCAAAACTGATCAATTCGGTGTCTAATCAAAAAAAGGACCAGAGGGATCATTCCAAAAGAGGAGACACTAGCCAGCATCTCTATCGCGTCCACTCCAAGTCCGTCGACTTCGAGTCCAGCAAAGTAAATAGGCATACGAAGCTCTTGCCACTGAATCTGCACCCTCGTAGATACAATCGGCGCTGTTCAGCTTGGGAGGAGCATTTGGCAAATTTAGCTAGTTCTTTTTGTGGTTCATATTAATTAAAAGGTCCCACCAATCTTCTTATTCGTTATCACTGTTTTCTTGCTCTGAATAGCCTTCGCACCACGGGAGCAACAATTTGCAGGGTAAAAACCAAACCTTGGACGGAACATATTTATAGGTCCTCTCACTGATTTCCGTCCCTTTTCTTACAGCTTATCATCTTCACACTCCATCACTTTCTATCACTTTATTATACCTTTCCAGTCCCCAATAGACACTCACAGGCTGACAGCATATTTATGGGGGAGTACGGAAATATCTGAGAAATTTCATACAAATCACTCAAGAATCAGAGCAGAGATGAAATTCGCTCTGCCTCCTGCAGGATTGTCTTTCGTGGAGCCAGAGACGTCAGTACTAGAGGAGCGGACATATGCACAACTGCTCTTTCATCAAAACTATTTTTCTCCCTCCGGAAAGGGATTACAGCACTTGCTAAGAGCAAAAAGGACTGTCGTTTGCCCCTCATCGACGACAGTGTCCTATTCCAGCTCGGATGGCAGAGCAGCCACAATGATGTGGGTGGAGTAGAGCACTTCGGGACTGGTCGTATTGGGGAGACAGACGTGCAACAGAATCGTCCGGGGCAGCGCCCGCGGCACGCGGCGCGTCGCGCGGCGAATGACTCAGCAGCTCACTTACGTGCATTTGCTAGCCGATAGCTTTGCGACTGGAGCAAATGATTTACTACAGCGTACATCCGCAACATTTAGCAGGTTTCATCAATGATTGAAAATCTAATGATGTTTTTTTGATAGTAACACACAATTGTTTGGCGGTTCCATAAACGCAACTTCAGGAAATAAACAGATACAAAAGAAATCAGATAAGGCCGTGATTCTCCCTATGTTTATGTGGTTCACATGATTTGCGCAGTCGCCAGCGTCAATATAATAGACGGATGGCCAAGTTTTTCTGTGAGCTGCTGTAAAAGATGACAAACCAGAGCAAATGTTAAAGACCCCAATGAATTTCGTGCTCTATTGAACTTTTTCATACTCTAACTGAAAACTTAACCGTAACTGAACACAAGACTCGATCCTGGGTGATATCAATATTTACCTTCCCTTCAATAACCCTATTCAAACCGCCAGAAGCACGCTTCGTCTTCTCGCCGCAAGTATGTCGCAGGCCACGCCCACCAGCTGCACCGGACGATTCTGCTTGCCATTATACACACCCTTCGCATTGCTCGTGTGTTTTCAGCTCCATTTT